TATGTTTGCTCTTGGTGATAGCAGAGTTCTCCAGAGGGTTCACAGATACCAAGTGTGAGCCCTTAATGCAGCTATTGTCAGTACTGAGGAACTGATACAAACTGTTCCGGAACAATTAGCAACATTTAGCTGTGTTTCATTCTTTGGCCAGGATCAGTGCCTTGGCTTGCTGGAATTAATCCACAGACAATGGCACACAGACTTTTTTGTTCTTTTGTATTTTGATGTACTAGAGATTGAGCTCATGGCCTTCACACTGAGCTACATCCCAAACCCTTTTCATATTTTGAGTCAGGGCCTCTTTTGGGGGAGCGGTATTGAGATACGGAGACAGGGTCTCACTTTGTAGTTCAGGCTGGCCCTAAATTCACTATGTAGCCCAGGTTTGGCCTCGAACTCACAGTGATCCTCCTGCCTCAGCCTCCCCAGTGCTGGGATTACAGGCGTGAGCCACCACGCCTAGCTGACACAGGGGCTTGATAAAGTTGCCTGCTCTGGGATCACACTAGAGACACTTCTGCTTCGAACTCCCAGAGTGCTAGGTTTACAGCATGCACCACCACGCCCAGCTGCACACAAATATTTAAAGGCTCCTTTTCTGTGTCTGCCTTTATTTAGTCTTCCTAAAGTTAAACAGTTTTGTTGCCTTAACTATTCCTTGTGTGTTATATTTTCCCTTGTTTTGGTATACCATCTAGTTTTTAATACCCTTCGAGTAGAGTCCTAAACTAGCACTGTGGAGCACCCCTGTAATCCCAGCACTTGGGAGGCTGAAGTAGGAGAATCCTGAGGGTTGTATGTAACCTACTGTACATAGCAAAATCCTTTGTCACAACAAAACATAGAGGGTCCAGTGCTGTAGCTACAGCTAGACTGCTGACTCAACCCAAGTTTCCCTTAGTGACTTAGACTTTTGTCCCGACCCCCACCAAACCTGACCCTCCCCCGGTACCCTTTTTTTGTTGTCAACAATATTAAAATCTACCTCATTACTTTGGCTAGAAATGGAGGAGATTCTCCTTAGTTTCTCCTTAACCCTTACATCTAGTTAGTCCCCAAGTCTGCTGCAGAGAGGCCAGATAGCATAATGGGACATGTGGCTGGCCTGGGTGTAAATGCCACTGGTCGTTTGGCCAGGTCACTAACCCTGGCGGAGCCCTAGTTTCCACAGCCATAATGAGAATAATAGCACCTCTTTCATGGGTTACCCTGCATAGAGTGTAAAAGCCATGGCTTCAAAAATTCCCTGTGCCTTTCAGTAAGAGTTCAAAAGAGAATTAATAAAAAGACAGAATTCTCACTCTTCTTCTGAGTAAATGAACTCACTAGAACTACCCCCCTTTTTATGGCTTCATGCTAAAAATATGCACGCCTGTTACTTCTCAATGTTCGTTCATCCTTTAGCTGATGTTAGCCGCCTGTTCACCCGGCAGATATTTATTGAGTCACCCCTCTGTGCCACATACTGCTGTAGGTTCAGAGGATGAGGCTGTGAGTGACAGAGACCATCTACATGCCACAGGCTTGTCTCCATGCTAGGAGGAGAGAGCAGACGAACTTTTTTTTTCTATCACAGCATTTTTTAATATCCAAACATTTATTGTGCGTTTTAAGCATACGTGATGACAACACTCATTGTAGGGAATTTGCACCTGTACCTGATGCATCCTGCCCCTCCTTTCCCATCCCCCTCACTCCTCAAGCCCCCTCCCCTCCCTAATGCAAAGGCTTTGTTTCCATTTCTGCCATTGTCTCTTTTTTCTTGTCACTTCCTTCCTTTCTTTCTCCTTCCTCCCTGCTCCCCTTCCCATTTGAACACTTTCTTCCCATTTCCCAACCTCTGTTATACATTTTAGTCTTTATTTCCACTTTGGGTTTCTCACATCAGAGAAATAATGCAGTATTTAAGCACGTGTGTCCAATTTATTTCACTTAAGAGTATGGTCTCCGGGTCCATCCATTTAGCTATAAGTGTCTGAAGCTCATCTTTCTTTGTGGCACAGTAGTGCTCCATTGTAGGAAAAAGAACACATCTTTATCCACTTGTCAACGGATAGGCGTTTGGGCTGTTTCTAAGATTTAGCTGTTATGAGTTGTGCCTCTGTAAACATGGTGTGCATTATATCACTGTGGTATGAAGCCTTTAATTCTTTGGGGAAGATACCAAGAAGAATAGCTGGGTCAAATGGAACCTCTAGTTTTAGTTTCTTGAGAAATCTCCACACTGATTTCCACAGTGGTTGTACCAGTCTGCACTCCCACCAGCAGTGGAGAAGGGTTCCTTTTTCCCCCACAGCCCCTCCAGCGTTTGTTATTGGTTGGCTTCCTGATAGCAGCCTTTCTTCCTGGAGTGAGATGGAATCTCAGCAGTGTTTTAATTTGCATCTCTCGAATGACCAGTGATGTGAAACATTTTTTCATATATTTATTTGTCATTTCTACTTCATCTGAGAAGTGTTTATTCCCATTTTTTAATTGGGTCTTTAAATTTGGGGAGGGGTCTTATTTTTTTTATTTTTTATTATATTTTTAGTTCTTTATATACTCTAGGTAGTAGTCCTTTGTCTGATGAATAGCTGGTTTAAAAAATTTTTTTCCGCCCTGTGGGTTGTCTCTTCACTCTGTTGGTGGTTTCTCTTGCTGAGATCCCAGTTGTTGATTCTTCGTAGTATTTGCCAGGCGGTCTGGGTTTTGTGCTGAAGTCTCTGCCTACTCCTATGTCCTTAAGTGTTCTCTATTCTTTCGGCAGATTTAGTGTTTCTGTTTTAATATTTAGATCTTTGATCCATTTTGATTTTAGTTAGTGCATGGTGAAAGAAAGATACGGATCTGGTTTCAATCTTCGGCATATGGAAAGCCAGTTTTTCCAGCACCACTTATTAAATAGGCTTTCTTCCAGTGAAGCCGTTCGGCTCCTTTGTCAAAGATAAGGCGGCTGAGTCTGCAGTTAGAATCTGTAGTTGTCTCGAGTGAGTGCTCTGAAGGAGAGTGAGGCTGTGGCCAGGGTGTAGTGAGAGGGGCTGGGGCAGGCCGAGCGGACCTGGCCGCCTCTCCCAGGAGGGAAGAGCAGACAAGGGGCCGGAGCAGCTGTGTTTAGTTTGTTGGGCTTTTTGCTGATGCCATTACCTGGTATTGAGAAATGTTAGTTATTTTCCATTTTTATTTTTTATTAGTATATGTTTGCAGTACATAATGATTACATTTCTCACAGGGAGACAAATGTTATTTAGAACATCCCTCTCTATTTTTTTTAATCCAGCAGACATTGGAAAGCATGTAGCTGACACAGTTTCCTTTTTCATATTGCCAGCTAAAAAACAGAGATAGGCCTGGTTTGCCAGGGATTTAGTTCAGTGGTTCTGCCACCTGCCTTGCAGAGGCCAGGTCCCGAGTTTGATCCCCAGTACCAAAAAAATTTTTTTTTAAAGTGTGTGTGTGTGTGTGTGTGTGTGTGTGTGTGTGTGTGTGAAAACAAGATAAGCCTGGTTCTTGGAGGAACTCTCCCAACCAGGCCTGTTCATATAAATAATGTTTGCTTTCTCCTCAGACAAACAAACATGTTTGTCACCCACCCATAATAGCCATGGTCATGAAGGATGGAGTACATAAAAGTAACAAAAAATATAGTTTTTCAAACAAAGTGAAGTAGTGAATTATAGGCATATATGCTTCAACAAATGTGTAAGACTTACATTCATGGGCTGGGGATGTAGCTCAGTGGTTCTGCCACCTGCCTCACAAGCGCAAGGATCTGAATTCAATCCCCGGTACCAAAAAAAAAAAAAAAAAAAAGACTTACATGCATAAATAAGGTGTGGCTATCACAGAGAGGCAAGCAGTGGAACCACTAAGCTATATCCCCAGCCCTATCCCAGAGAATTAATAAAAACACCTATATAAGTGATGGTTCTCAATTAGGGACAGTTTTGTCCCCTAGGGATTTTCTTTCTTCCTTCTTTTATCTTATTGATTAAAGATTTTTAATCTTATTTATTGGTACTTTTTAAGTGCACAGATACATTCATCATTGGGATCTTGTACCCTTAAATGACAGATCTTGTTTCTCATTTTTTCTCCATACCCTTGTCCTCCCTTCACCCCCTCCACCCTCTCTTTCTTTCTTTTCTTTCTCACTGTGCAGTTCAGGCTGCCCTTGAACTCACTATGTAACCCAGGCTGGCTTTGAATTCACAGCCATCCTCCTGCCTCAGCCTCCCAAGTGCTGGGATTACAGATGTGCACCACTGTGCTCAGCTCCCTAGGCAATTTCAGCAATGTCTGGTGGTTGCATGGCCATGGGTGTCCTTCATTGAACTGTGTAGCCTCCACCACAAAGAATTATCTGGCCCTAAGGTCAGTACTGCTGAGGCTGGGGAACCCTGCTGTGGACTGGACCGTTCAATCTGTGATTCCAGGGGCCAGAGCTCTGGAAGCATCCTAGTCCTTAAGGGACAGATGTGTTTGTCTTGGTCATTTGTTCCGCTGTAACAAAATGCCTGAGCCTGGCTAGTTTCACTTCCTCCCAGTTCTAGGTCTAGAAAGTCCAAGAGCAAGGTGACGGCAGGTTCAGCATGTGCGCCTCACATGGCAGAAGGCACAGAAAGGGCAGCAGAGAGAGGAGTGCTGTGTCGTGTTGTGGAAGCAGAGAGCAAGCAGGGCCAGACTCCCCTCCTCCAGCCCTTTCTAGAGATGCTAGCTCTCGAGGTTTACTCCCTTCATAGAGGCCCTGGCCTCTTAATGCTGTGTGGTGCGGTCAGGGCTTTGAGGTGAATCTTAGCATAGATGCGGTCTGCGCGGCTTATTCTGCATACATGTCTGTTCCGAGTGGGAGGGTCAGGCACCCTTCCACTGAAATTGTCATCTGTCACATGTTGCAGAAAGCATTTTTTTCTCCCCTCCAGAAATCTATCTTGTACCCACTCAGTCACAAGTTGAGTTTGAACTGCAGTATTTTGAATGTTTTAAAACAAGACTATGTTTTTGTCCTACTGTCTTTTCAGGCTTTCATAGAGACCATGTTTGCCAGCAAAGCCCCCACGGAGGAAGCCTTCCTCTATGCTAAGGTGAGCCGGGAACACAGGAGAGGGCCTGTCGGAGTCTGGTGGACAGTAGTCAGCTCTGCCCGGCTTCAGAGATGCTTTGCTTCTCACGTATTATTAGATGTAGTCTAGTACATGAGTCTAAAACGTGAAGTGCTACACTTAGCATAAGAAAGTTAAGAAGTAGAGCAAATGAGGAAGACAAAACTGAAGGGTGTAAGATGAGAATAACTTCAGTAACTGTGAAGGAAGATGGGTCTGAGGCTGTGCATGGGTGTTGCAGATGCTGCTGGTCTCCAGTCCACCCAGAAACCTAGCATCCTTTCTCACTCGTCCAGAGCATTTAGGTCATTTCTCACTTGGAAGGTTGAAATCAGTAATGTAGAGCTAGTGTTAAAAATAAAACCCAGGCCAGGCATGGTGGTGCACGCCTGTAATCCCAACACTCGGGAGGCTGAGGCAGGAGGATCACTGTGAGTTCGAGACCAGCCTGGGCTACATCGTGAGTTCCAGGTCAGTCTCAACTACATAGTGAGACCCTGTCTCAAAAAGCAAAAAAAAAAAAAGGTGAAACCCAGGGGGCCGGGGATTAGCTCAGGGGTACCCTGCCTGCCTTGTGAGCACAAGGTCCTGAGTTCAGTCCCCAGTACCAGGGAAAAAACAAAACAAACAAAAATGAAACCCGTATTTTGTTATTTAGCTAAGTAAGAATAAACAACAGCCTTCTTTGTAGATTTTGTGTCCTCTCCTGGACTGAATTTAAAATCATAGGAGTTTAGAGAATACTCAGAAGAGAATGGATTTAATAATGTTAAATAACAGGTCTGGTGGAAATAAAGATATATGTAGACTGTAGCTCTGTATCACATGGGGTAAGAATCAAAGAAATGGATGGAAATGATAGCCTTGAAAGTTCGGTTAGACATAGTGACCAGTGCTGCAGTTATGACTTACAGCAAGTGCTGCTGTGGAGGCAGAGGCTGTGAAACCGGCCTGGCTTCTGAAAATGTGAACTGCGTGGCTCACACCTCGCTGTTCTTCACAGTTTGAATTTGAATGCCGGGCACGTGGGGCGGACATCTTGGCCTATCCACCTGTGGTTGCTGGTGGGAACCGGTCGAACACTTTGCACTATGTGAAGAATAATCAGCTCATCAAGGTATGGCTCCCTTCATCGCTGCTCCTGTGAGGATCAGGCACTCCAGCGGAAAGCTCACTAACTGCTTTCGTAAATGAACTATCATTTTAAAGCCTGTAACCCCAGCACTCAGGAGGCTGAGGCAGGAGGATCTCTGCATAGTTGAGGCCAGCCTGGACTACATAGTGAGTTCAAGGCCAGTCCGAACTATATAGCAATACTCTGCCTCGAAAAAAAAGATGTATTTATAAAATATATTACCTATGATCTAAGTGTTTCCTATTGGGAAATTTATTCCATCTCATTGCAACAAAAAACCTATTCTTCAAAGTTGTCATTGCTATATTCATACTCTCTTAACCACTACTTTACTTACTTAGATATAGGTATAAAAAAGATACACCTTGCTGGGCATGGTGACGCACACCTCTAATCCCAGCACTCAGGAGGCTGAGGCAGGAGGATCACCATGAGTTCGAGGCCAGCCTGGGCTACCTAGTGAGACCCCATCTCAAAAAAAATAAAATAAAAATAAATAAATAAAGATATGCCCTGTCCTCAAGGACATAAATAGATCAGGACTACTGATAAGTTAAAAATACACTCAAGATTTCTTCTTTCCCACATATGTTATTGACAGCAGAAGGGGAAGTAACGTTCTAAAGTGAAATGGCCAAGGGTAATTTTGTTGGAGTAAGGCACTGACTGAAGTGGGGTTGTGTAACTCACACAGTAACATTTGTAACGCCTGGACGCCTTCCCCTACTAATTCCCACCCTGGTGTGCTGGGCCCAGAGCCTGTGCGCCTGCCCACCAGACACCACCGCGCCTCTGGAGCCCACTTAAACTCCTCTGCAAAGCATGGGCATATGTCGCTCAGGAGAAGAACCAGAGATTGGTCTTTAGATTAGAGCTTTCTGAAAAAATAAAGAGCATCTTTTAGAGGAAACGGTTGTGAGCTCCCTCACGTCGCCCTGTTCTTTTGTTCCAGGATGGGGAGATGGTGCTCCTGGACGGAGGCTGTGAGTCTTCCTGCTACGTGAGCGACATCACACGGACCTGGCCTGTCAACGGCAGGTAGTGCTCTCAGGGAAACATGTCCTACTGCTGCTTGGGAGTATGAGTTGGAACGTGGATTTTTTGGGTTTTTTGTTTGTTTTGGTTTTGGTTTTGGTTTTGGTTTTTTGAGACAGGGTCTCACCGTATAGTTGAGACTGACCTGGAAATCACTATGTAGCCCAGGCTGGTCTCGAACTCACAGCGATCCTCCTGCCTCAGGCTCCCGAGTGCTGGGATTATAGGCATGTGCCACCACGACCGGCCTGGAACATGTATATTTTTAATAAATGACGAAAGAAACCTTCAGGGCTCTCATAGGACAGGTTAACTGCTTTGCAAAACTTGATACATTTTTTAAGACTTGGTTTTTCGTGCGGTGAAATGAGACACTGCAACGCTATGTTAACTGACATACACACGTGCACTTTTCAAAAAATAACTAAAGTATTTCTGGTGTTTTTGATTTCATTACTTTTCTGATCACAAAGATAGTCTTAATTTAGGATAAAATAACTTGTTATTATCCACTGATACAAAATCTAGACAAAATTTTTTTTTCTCTTACTGGGTATTGAACCCACTGCCTCAGCACTGACCTACAATCCCAGTCTTACCTTATTTTTTGAGACAGAGCCTTGATAAATTGTTGAGGCTCCCCTTGGAGTTTCAGTCCTTCTGCCTCAGTCTCCCTGAGAGCTGGGATTACAGGCCTGTGCCACCATGCCTGGCTAGACCAAGTGTTAGCGAGGGTTTACGTTTACTAAAGGAGTTACAGGTGGGAGAAGGATGTGTCTGCAGAGTGAGCGCGGGCCTGGTAAGAGCAGGACAGGAAGTGTGCTCTGCTGAGTGGGGAGGGGTTGGTGGGACAGAGCTTTAAAGAGGCTGTTTGAAAACAGCAGAGAGTTCCCACAAACAAGTGAACTCGCACAAGTCTCTCTGAGGAAGCATAGTAACAGGTCAGTTTCATGGCCTGACCTCTGCCTGAGGGCGTCCCCTGAGCACGTGTTAGTGACGGGAGGTAACAGCCTTATCGGCTTCAGGTGTCAGAGGATGGAGTTAGAGGCTGGCAGAATATTCAGAAGAATGGGGCAGGAGATCGTGAAGACAAGGAGGCACAAACAATGTGAACCCCCAGATGTACTTAAATATTAAGAAATCCTTGGCGGCTCACTAACCTGTGTTGGCGGTCACCCAGTATTATCAGCAGAATAAGCTGAGCAGAGGTTTTCTTTGCTTCCCACGGAGTACCAAGTTTACAGTTTGAACCCAGCCAAGCTAAAACAAAGTAATTTGCAGTTATTTTGAGACATGGGCTCATTAAGTTGCCTAGCTTTCCTCAAATAGCTGTATTTGCAATTGCCCCAAACTGGAAATAATCCAGTGCCCATCAACAGGAGAGTGAATCTGCAATCTGTGGTGTACAAAACACAGTTTCCTGCAGAGGAATACAACCCAGCTATAACAAAGAGCAGACTGCTGAGTGAAGCAACACCATGGGTGAATTGCTCAGTGAAGAGAGCTACCCAAAGAAGAGCATGGATTGTATGATTCCATTTATGTGCTCACTACAAAAGAACATATACTGGCCGGGTGTGGTGGCGCACGCCTGTAATCCCAGCACTCAGGAGGCTGAGGCAGGAGGACCACTGCAAGTTGAAGACCAGCCTGGGCTACATAGTGAGCACCAGGTCAGTCTCAACTATATAGTGAGACCCTGTCTCAAAAAAACAAAACAGGGGCCAGGGATCTAGCTCAGTGGTTCGGTGGCCTGCCTTGCAAGAGCAAGGACCCGAGTTCAATCCCCAGTACCAAAAAAAACAAAACAAAACAAAAGCACATATACTAAAATATATGCTCTAGAATGGGCAGAAGTAAGGGGAAAGTGATTAGAACAGCATTTGCCTCTGGTGGGATGGGTATTGATTAGAAATAGAAACAAGGAAATTTTCTGGGACAGTGAAAATATTGTATCTAATGATAGGAATATGTTTTTGTTTTGTTTTGTTTTTGGTACCAGCGGTTGAACTTGGGTCCTTGTGCTTGTGAGGCAGACGGTGGCACCACTGAGCTAAATCCTTGGCCCTAATGATAGGAATATGGATATGCCTTAGTCCAGATTCTAGAAAGCAAAAGACCAACAGGAGATATATATTTGTGTATCTGTTGACATGTCATTAACAACGGGACCGGGGCCTGAGAAGTGTTCCTCAGGTGGTTTCACCGTTGTGTGAATGCTGTGGAATGCACTTGGTGCAGTCCTGGATTGTATGTATCAGTCACTGGGCCTTGCCTTTGACGGACAGGAGATGTGTGGCTGCTGTCACATGACCCCACAGACTGTCTTACTTTTTTATGAGTAGGAACACGTTTACCATCATGATAAGCTAGGTGGTGGATAGGTACATCATCGTCCAAGCTGAGAGCAACCTGGGCAACAAAGTAAGATCCTACCTCACGTGCAGAAAAACAGAAAATTTGCTGGGCGTGGTGGCACATGCCTGTAATCCCAGCACTCGGGAGGCTGAGGCAGGAGGATCGCTGTGAGTTCAAGACCAGCCTGGGCTACATAGTAAGTTCCAGATCAGTCTCAACTACATAGTGAGACCCTGTCTCAAAAATACCCCAAAAAAAAAAAAAAGAAAAGTAGAAAATTTTAAAATAAGCTGAACATGATGACACACAGCTGGAATCCCCACAGGTCAGTTGGGAGGGTCATGAATTCCAGGCCCAGTGGAGCAATATAGCAAGACTTCATCTCAAAAAATATTTTGAGCAGAGTTGTGGGAGAAGGGGTTGTAAAAGAATCATTATGTAGTGCCAAGGATTTAGATCAGAGGCACTGTGCTTGCCTTGTAAGCACAAGGTTCCGAGTTCAATCCCAGGTACCAAATAAATAAATAAAAACTAGTGCTGGGTGTGGAGGTACATACCTGTAGTTCCATTCACTGTGGGTGTGAGACCAGCCTGGTTTCCACATGCCAGCCTAAACTACATAGAGAGACCCTGTCTCAAAATAAATAAATATAAATAAAAATTAACAAAAAAGGCAAAAAATATAATAGTGTAAGTGTATAGTATATTTAAAACATTGCAGTATGTATTTATTATCATTGTCAAGCTACTATAACTGAATATGCTGTGTTTTCATGCATCCGGCAGTGATGTTTACACTAGCATCACCACAAAGACAAGAGAAATGTGTTAGCCACATCACGAGGCAACAGGAATCGTTCAGCTCTGTTAAAATCTTATGACAGAGCCGGGGATTTAGCTCAGTGGTTCTGCCACCTGCCTGGAAAGCACAAGGACCCAAGTTTGATCCCCATACCAAAAAAAAAAAAAATCTTATGAGAACTACTGGGCTGGGGATTTAGCTCAGCTACACCATACCTGCCTTGTAATTATAAGGTCCAGAGTTCCATCACCAATTTAAAAAAAAAACCTTATGAGAATTGGGTGTGTGTGCCTGGTTATCCCCCACACTTGGGAGTCTGAGGCAGGAGGATCGCAGTATCCAGCCTGGACTACATAGTGAGACCTTATCTCAAAAAATCTTGTGCCAGGGGCCCAGGGATTTAGCTCAGTGGTTCCACCACCTGCCTTGAAAGCACAAGATCCTGAGTTTGATCCCTGGTACCCCCCCAAAATCTTGTGCCAGGCATGGTCACACACGCACGCACACACTTCCGTAATCCCAGCACTCAGGAGGCTGAGGCAGGAGGATCACTGTGAGCTCAGAGACCAGCCTGGGCTACATAGTGAGTTCCAAGTCAGTCTTAACTACATAGTGAGACCCTGTCTCAAAGAAAACAACAACAAAAAATCTTGTGAGATGAAAGAAAACCTTATTATACAGTTGTGACTGTGTGTGTGTGTGTGTGTGTGTGTGTGCGCGCGCGCGCGAGCGCGTGCCTATGCATAGGGTGGTAGAGATATTCTTAGGAACTGACTCATGCACTTGTGGGAACTGGCTACAGTTGTAGAGCAAGAAAGTGGGAAACTTCAGCAAGAGTTGATAATGCAGCCAGGCACGGTGGCCCACACCTGTAATCCCAGCACTCTTGAAGGCTGAGGCAGGAGGATTACAAGTTCAAGCACAGCCTGAGCAATTCAGTGACCTTTTGAGATCCTGTCCCAAAAATAAATAAAATCAATTTTTAAGGAAAGAAAGGCTATCCTAGGGGAGGGTAACAGCGCAGTCTGGAGTCCAAAACATGCAGGACAAGAGACCCAGGCAAGATTGGCACTCACGTTTTCTAAGAACTCGTCCAGTTAAGTGTTTATTGCCAGCTGCCTTTTTGGTCCGTGTCTCTGCCAGTCAACCATCTGAACTCCTAGAGCTTTTCTGTCCTTCTGCTCAGTGGACCCCTGACAATAAACTCCGCCCGATGCAGCTTTCTCTCCCACTGCCACACACATCCCTGGAGCTTCACCCACATGTGTTGGAAAAGCCATGCCCTCGTTTAGTACATCTTCTCTATGGCCACACCTTGCACTGAACTTCGGGCCCTTGGGGGTTTGAGTCTGATTGTAGGTCTAAAAGCACCTGAGACAGCTCTCTTCCTCCACAAGGCACCTGGAAGTTCTCAGAATTACAAGCAGGACAGAAAAATGACTCAGCAGAATTTAGGAGCTCAGTACCCGCACTTCATCAGGATTGGTGCATCCATTTGTCAAAGCTGCATGCTTGGGCTTGTGCACTTCAGTGAATGACTAGCCAGTGCAGTGGTGCATGCTGTAATCCAAGCTACTCAGAGAGTATCTCCTTCAAGCTGATGAGGGAGTATTTCTTGAGCCCAGGACTTCAAAGCCAGCCTGAGCAATATAGTAAGATTTTCTCCCTCAAAAAAAAAAAAAGTTAAAAGCAATTATTTGCACCAGGTAAGGTGGCACACACCTGTAATCCTAGCACTCAGGAGGCAGAGTAGGATTGCCGTGAATAGAAAGACCCTGTCTCAAAAAAAGTGGGGGGCAGGGATTTAGCTCAGTGGTGCCGGCCGCCTGCCTCACAAGTACAAGGTCCTGAGTTAGATCCCCGGTACAAATAAAAAACCACAAAGTGCCAGGGACATAGCTCAGCAGCACAGTGCCTGCCTGGTAAGCATGAGGTCCTAAGTTCAATCCTTGGTACCAAAAATAAGTAAATAAAAAAATTTAAAACCAATTTTTTAATAATCTTGGGAAAAAGCAAAATAATCCTGTTTTAGGATGAGGTATGAGTGTATTATAGATGACATAATAACAGTGTTGATAACTGTTGAGCTTAGGAGAGGAGTACCTAGGTATTCACTGTACTAAAAAGCCTCACCTCTGAACACACGAGACTTTCGGGGGCATTTTCCATCTAACCCATAACATTATGGGTTATATTGTTATAACTATTCTATTAGAGGATCTTTAAAGTTCGTCTAATAACTTGAAATTATAGAAAACATTGCTTGAACACATTCGACTCTTCAGAATTTCATTTATTAAGATGAATTTTTTGAGCAGAATTACAAGCTTAGATTACATGATTATCTGTAAGGCCTTTAATGTAATTGTCTATATTAATTTATAGTCCCATCCACAGTGTATGAGAACAAGCACCATGTTACCCCAGGTAACCTCATAAGTCCTGCTAGACTCTAAGAAAGGAGAGGCTGTTGCCATCCTGACTTGCAGGACGGTCACTCTTTCTATTGAGCATCTGGAGCAGTGATGGTGAACCTTTAAGAGCTTTCATTGGTGCAGCCCAGTGTCGCACATGTGTCATACGTTTGCCACCACTGACGTAAGGCATGATCAGGTCCTGTCATCGGGGTCTGTGTAGCCATAACAATGTGTTGGTACCTTTAACTATATCATCAGCCTGGGGTTTCTCTAATCAAACAGAAGCAAACTTCTTGCAGCTGCAGTTCTTTGGGTTTCCTGTCCACAGGTTCACCGCACCTCAGGCAGAACTCTACGAAGCAGTCCTGGAAGTCCAGAGGGCTTGTCTGGCCCTCTGCTCCCCAGGGACGAGCCTGGAGAACATCTACAGCGTGATGCTGACCCTGACCGGACAGAAGCTCCGAGAGCTGGGGATCATACGGAGCAGCAAGGAAGACTGTGCCTTCAAGGTGCTTCACTTCTGTGCCCAGTTCTCAAGAGCACCTACCTGCTGCTCTGTTTGCAGCCTGGATAAAGTTAATTAGAAATGCTCCATACAGGAGATTTAGCTTCTAGGTGGATTGAAACAAAGGGATCAGTGCTTACTTCTGCCAGGAGGTGGCAGCACATTCTGATCCATTGCTGCTGCATCACGGGCACAGCCTTCAGAAAACAAAATGACGTCTGGTGGTATGGCAGAGTGGAAAAGAACACAAAAAAGCAGGAGAGGTTAACTCTTCAGGTCAGAGGTGAGGAAGTTTGACCTCAACAATATGTCCAGGAACCGCATCTTTAATGAGATGTACTATTAAATATAGCCAAAATGTAACGGTAAGATTGCTGGAAACCAAATTTGCTGTAATACTGGACATCAAAATGTAATGGTGCCTATGCCGCCTACTTCGCAAATGGAAGGGCCCAAGTCTGATCCCCCGTACCAAAAAAAAAATGGTGCCTAGTCAAAATGCAAAGCCTCAGCTTTAAAATTCAATACTAAGACGTCAAACCAAGTGGTCCATTAGCATTTTCCACCTTCAGGTTAAGGTTCCCAGGACTCCTGTTACCTATTGAGAAGCTACTGTAAGTTCCACATTCCTTAGGTCAACAGATTTTAACTTTACTGAGGGAAGTAACCAAGCTGATAATGCCCAGTGATTATGCCTATGCCACAAGCTGGTGTGGATTACTTAAGGCTTCTTGAGAGGGCTGTGTGTATACTGTAAAGATAACAGTCTAATATGGTTGTCTTCTCTTCCCCAAAAAGATTTTCATTTGTCACAGTCTTTTCTGAGACTGCAAGGTGTGGTGTGTGTAACAGATTTGATAGCAGGATAGAAATGTGGGTTAATAAGGATGCAGTTGGCAAAATTGCATATAAGTACCAGTTTATCAGATCTCTCCTTCTGTCCCACCCTTATTTATTGATTGATTGGTACTTGGGATTGAACTCAGGACCTCATGCTAAGCACATGCTGTACCACTGAGCAAGACCCCCCAGCCCCAATATTAGGTCTCTTAAGAAATAGCCCATGCTGCCTGCCTCGCAAGTGCAAGGTCCTGAATTCGATCCCAGGTACCAAAAAAAAAAAAAGTAACATTAGCTGGGTGTGGTGGTGCACACCTGTAATTCCAGCTCTCAGGAGGCTGAGGCCGGAGGATCACTATGAGTTCGAGACCAGCCCGGGCTACATAGTGAGTTCCGGGTCAGTCTCAACTACATAGTGAGA